GGAAGGAAGAGTAGGGGGTCCTAAAGGGGACTATTGCTATTTGAGGAGGGGGGTCATTTGCTAAGATTGGACCAATGATAATCAGAAGCGGATTATCTTGTTATCTTGCCCACAGGGGGATTAAAAGCTAATGGCAGGAAATTTGGGCAAGGGGATGATTGATTTGAGCCAATTGGGGTAGTGGAAGAACGGAGCAGAACCATGCTTCCCAACCTGGGCTGCTTGTAAGACGGGTGGCCTTCAATTCCCAGAATCCCCCAGAATTCAGCAATGAATTCTGGGAGTTGAAGTCCACTCATCTTAAAGCAACCAAGGTTGAGAGATACTGGAGTAGAAGTTAGGGGGGTGTCATGAAGATGGCTGAGACCTCTTGGAAGATCCTGGACAATCTCAGCCGCCAAGAGTAGGCCGACTATGGTCGACAGAATCAAGATGGCTGCCACAATGTGATTGAAGGTTCTTCTGGTCGTAAGCCTTTGACCGCACCTCCTTGGTCTCCCATCTTGACCCTGTGGCCCATAACTTCTCACCACCCCAGGCAGGAGTGGAGGACAGCTTCTAAGAACAGGTTGTGAAAGGAGAACAAAAGACATGAACGGTCTGCCATCTTATCTCTATCCCAGGTCTTGGTGCCACCTTGACAGGAGGAACGTCACGAATTGAGGTGAGGGAGGCAGTTCTCTTCAAGCAAGGATGTCCACTTTCCGCCAGGAAAGGGTGGAAGACCACTATGACATGGAGGAAGAACTGGGCAGGTGAGTCGTATGTTTAGGATACGGGTGTCAGGATTCTGGCAGTTACCCCAATTAAATCATGAGTCTCGAGCCAAACTTCCAAAACTTCGAAAGGATTTATTGGGAGTTAACATGCCCACACTGCCTGGGTGTAACCCTGGTTTCCCCCCACCCCCTGGGTATATCATAATTCATATTCTCCAATGGGACACATCCATAGCCAAGAGCCACAATCATGCTCTCCAGTTAGATATTTGCGCGGCAGAAATTTCAGTCACCTAGTTACTATGTATGGAATGCACTTTCGATTGCCAAGCTGCCACACTACTCTTTCAAACCCCTTTCCCCCTCCCTTTCTGTTGGCAACTCTAAAAAGACCATAGAAATATTTAATGAGTTGACATTCAGCTCCCCTCACTTCTTGAAGGTGACCTGTACAACACAGGTCATAGGTTCTCACCTAGCTTGGAAGACCACATTATTTTGAAAGCCACCAAAGAAACGGAACGCTACTTGTCTCCTGGAGTCCTAAGAACCACACACAACGTGTGTATGAAATCTCCAGGAGTCAGTCAATTCAGAATAGAGCTTGAAGGGACCTTGGAGGTCTTCTAGTCCAACCCTTTCCAGAAGCAGGAAACCCAAATGTGGTGGACATATCCATAAGTTAAAAAATATTGGACGAAAATACATACCTGGTTTGAAAAAAAATGATAAAACGGCATTGAGATATGAAGCCAGAAATATTTTTATTGGGCATTCTACCAGAAAAACGTGATAAAGAGATTATATATTTGATTTTACATGAATTAACTGCAGCTAGAATTGTATATACTCAACAACAGAAGTGCGATGAGATCCAAACAGATGAGAAGGTAATTCAGAAAACATTAGAATGTGCAGAAATGGATAGACTAATGCTTACTATTAAGGACCAAAAAAAACCCTTAAATACTTTTTAACCTGGGACTTATTTTATCGAGGGCTAGACAATAAAAACAGAACTTAGAAAGAAAGGACATAAAAAGGATAAGTGTTAAAATGGAAATGTGTTAAAAATGGGCAAACAAAATACTATTGTTACTACAGTATTAATGTTATTGTGATACGTGTTATTGTAAACACCTTGATTATGATCGCATAAAAACAATTGTACCCAGACAGCACACTGTTTGATTGAAAAATGATTTTTTAAAATATATTAATACTAATAAAACAAATAAAACTTATTTTAAAAAAAGAACCACACACGGTGTGTGTGTGTGTGGAATCTCTAGAAGTCAATCGATTCAGAATAGTGGTTTGAAGAGACCTTGAAGATCTTCTAGTCCAACCCTTTCCACAAGCAGGAGACCCTAGACCAGTGGTGGCTAACCTTTTTTGGCTCCTGTGCCAAAAATTGCGCGCGCGCTGGTGCACTCGCCTGCTAGCACCCAGAAGGCAATGCGCACCCTCCCACGCCCCCTGCACATGCGTGTGCAATCCCACCGCTGCCCCCCCCCCTTACCTGCACTGTGCCTCACAGAGCTGATTTGAGGCTGATTTTAGGCCTTTTTCAGCCTCCCAGAGGCTTGAAAAAAGCCTCTGCAGGCTGATTAATAGGCCCCGTTTTGTCACTTCCGGTATTTCCGGAAATACAGGAAGTGATGAAACGGGCCTTTTTTTCGGCCTCTAAAGGCTGCAGAGCTTCCCTCGAGCCTCTGGGAGGCCGAAAAAGGCCTCAAACCATCCAAAAATCAGCTGTGAGGCGCGCACATGCGTAGTGAGGTAAGTTTGCCTGCAGCTTGTGTGCCCACACAAATGGCTCTGCATGCCACCTCCGGCACACGTGCCATAGGTTCGTCATCACGGCCCTGGACCATTTCAGACAAGTGACTGTCCAGTCTCTTCTTAAAAACCTCCAGTGTCGGAGCATTCACAACTCTTAGTGGCAAGCAGTTCCACTGGTTAATTGTCCTCCCTGTTAGGAAGTTTCTCCTTCATTCCAAATTGCTTCTCTCCTGAATTAGTTTCCAAACGTTGTTTCTTGGTGTTTTGAAAAATAAATTGAACCTCTCTTCTTTGTGTTGGCCCCTCAAATTTTGGAAGATGCTATCATGTCCCTCCTAGTCCTTCTTTTTCTTTAGACTGGCCAAACCCAAATCCTGCAAACATTCTTCGTATATTTTTGTCTCCGGGCCTTTAAGCATCTCAGTTGCTCTTCTTTGCACTTTTTCCTAAAAGTCTCAACATCATTTTTGTATTGTGACCAAAACCGGATGCAGTTATTCCAGGTGTGGCCTTACTCAGGCGTTACAAAGCGCTGCTTATGTCCAGGGACCTCAACAAGATTTGATCTCGGTTCATTTGATTTGAATCTTAATTCATTTCGGGAAAATTTAAGACGTTCTGGATTATTCCCAGGATTACTAAACCGGACGTACCAGATTGGCAGTGACAAAAACCACACCTGATTTATGCCAAGGACTACACATCCATGTGTAGTCATCAAAAATATCAAACTTTTGGGGTGTGGGCATACATACCTAGGCATTTAATGCGTATAATCCTCCTTTTGTCTGGTTTTAAAGACAAGCTAATGGAAGTAAATGAATTGCTGGGCCATTGAACTATAAGGCAGATCTTGAAAAACGCTGCTTTTTCCACCAGCTTTTTTAAAAAGAAGCCCAAAAAACTTTGTGGATTCTTAAATTCATTTCATGTTAAACATAAACTCTTGGCTGTCAGTTCCTTTCAAGCTGAGATTGGGTGTGGAGGGGGGTTGGACTAGATGACCTACAAGGTCCCTTCCAACTCTGTTAATCTGTAATCTTTGAGATGTATTATAAATGCTTTTTTAAAAACTCTTTTCCCATCAGCCAAAAATGATTGATGACACAAAAACAAATAAAAAGTAAAAGTAAAATTCAAGTAGTCTCAATTTACGACTGCAATTGAGTCCCAAATTTCTGTTGCTAAAGTGAGACATTTGTTCAGTGAGTTTTGTACCGTTTTGTGACCTTTCTTTCCACTGTTGTTATGCGAATCCCTGCAGCTGTTAATGTTAGTCCCACGGTTGTTAAGTGAATCTGGCTTCCTCATTGAATTTTGGCAGTTGTTTAGCAAGTCACACTGAATTTTGCCCATTGTTAAATGAGTCAGACTGAATTGTGGCAGCTGTTAAGCGAGTCACACTGAATTTTGGTGGTCGTTAAGCAAGGCACACTGAATTTTGGTGGTCGTTAAGCAAGGCACACTAAATTTTGGCCGTTAAGTTAGTCAGACTGATTTTTGACTGTTAAGCGAGTCACACTGAATTTTGGCAGCTGTTAAGCGAGTCCCGCTGACGTCTGCAACTTCTTTGATGTGGTTAATAGCGACTCGCTGCAGTTGTTGAGAGTAACACATGGTCGTTAAGTGAACCTGGCTTCCACAATCGACTTTGCTTGTTGGAAGCCAAAAGGGAAGGTCCCAAATGGCGATTATGTCACCCTGGGATGTCATAACCATTGTTAACAATACCGGTTGCTAAGCGCTCCAATATTGATCACGTGCTGCACTGGTCATAAGTGCGAGGACCAGTCATAAGTCACCTTTTCCAACCCTGTTGTAACTCCAAATGGATGATAAATGGTTTTACTGTGTGGGGGGGAAGGATTGGATGCAGGTCATAAAACAAAAAAGATATTTTTGGGGGATAAACTCTGAAATTGCTGGCCGTGATTTCATTGACAAAGTAGTCCTCAACATGCAACCTCAATTAAGCAGAATCAGAGCTGGAAGGGACCTTTGAGGTCTTCTAGTCCAACCCCCTGCTTCAAGCAAGGAGACCCCCATACCGTTTCAGACAAGGGTCAGTCTCGGCACAAAATCTCCAATTGCTGAACAAGATCGTTTTTCCGTGAGTTTTGCCCTGTTTTATGATCACTGTTGTTAAGTGAATTGCTTCAGTTGTTAAGTAAATCATTTGGTCATTAAGTGAATCTGACTCTCCCCCGATCAGAAGCCAGCTGGGAAGGTGACAAATGGGGATTATATGACCCAAGGACAGGAATAGAATAGGATAGGATAGAATTAGAATTATTAGAATTAGAATTAGAATAGAACAGAGAAAGTATAGAGAAAGAATTAGAAATAATAGAAATAGAAGTAAATAGAATAGAATAATAGAATAAGAATTAGAAGAGAAGAGAGAAGAATTAGAAATAATAGAAATAGAAATAAGAGACTTCCGGTTTGTCGGCTTCGCGAGCGGCAGGGATTTGCGAAGCTGCGCGATCCCTGCCGCGCTAGCCGTTTTTGGGGCTCCGACCCAGCCGGGTACGGAGCTAGGCTGCCCTGCAGGGGCAGCTGAAGGTAGGGGGGATCCGGAGAAGGGACTGGGGGTGTTGCAGACCCCCTCCCTGGCCGGCAGAACCCCCTTTTCCCAGGACGGTGCAGCGGCGGTCCGTAATGGCCGCCACAAAGAAGCTGGCAGCCGGGTAAGAATGCGCAGGAGGAAGTGGAGAAAGTGATTGAGAGGAGAAAGTTTTTCTTGGCTCCTAGGACTCTAAGACATATTTAATAAAATTCCTGAAAAGTATGACTTTCTGAATAATACCTGCCAGAAGAGGAAAAAAGCGGCTGCTTGAAGGTGCTGAAAGGATAGCTTTCCCTCTTTTCCCACGGAATAAATAACTGGATATTAAGAAACCTATTTTTTTAGGTGGAAATTGGTTTTAAGCGATGAGTGGGAAGAGAGAGGATTAAAAAGAAAATATTTGTATGCTAAGATTTGTTGGAGCAGATGCCTTAAGGATTTGAAGACTAGAATATATTGTAACAAGACTTTAAACAGATTTGGACTTTCTTTCTCTTTGATTGATATCACCCCAGAAGGAGAAAGTGAGAACTCTGCCTTGGTTTGGACTGATTGATAACTTTGGGACTGTTTTATCTTTTTTATTTTCTTTTGAATATTCTGGTTGTTGTAAGAAGAAAGAAGGAGAAAAGAAAAGAAAAGATTTATAATGGCTCTTTCTGTTGAGGAACTAAGAAATGGT